AATATTATTCTGCTCTTCTTCTCCATACAAACTATAAATTTTACATTTATTTTTATTTTACATTTAGGTCAGAATAATATTTTTTTTATTATGTATCAAAAATATATTGTATCGAAAACACTACTATATATTTGAGTACTAGTACTAGAGCTCTTTTTCTCCATACAAACTATAAATTTTACATAGTTTGTATGGAGAAGAGGAGCAGATTCTTCAATCCGTGTACTTCTCGTAAAAATTGATTTAGCACATTGCTTTACTTCCGATAGTTGCGGGTTCGATTCAATTCAATTCGACATTTATGAACGTTTGTATTCTTGGCTATGACTATTTGTATCGATCTGGGTGTTTTTTTATTAATATTATGTATGTATTTACAAGATATTCATGACGTAAAAATAGATTATATCTGCATATACAATATAATTTATTTATATAACTTCAATACACTTAATGCCAGAGTAATAGTAGATACATATGACAGACTTCACGCCTTATGGCATTTTGTTCAAGACAACCATAGGTTGTGCAGACAAAAATTGTAGACGGTGCAAATATAGTGAATGTAAAACACTGTCATACAAAAAGCAAAGTACTTGTAAACACAAACACACATACACACACACACACAATCTATCTATCTCACCTTCAATCGAAACACAGCTTACAAAGCAATCTTCCTGGCTGAAATGAAATATGAGACTGAGGTCTACTCCACTGAAAAGGTTGGTATCAATCTGTAATTAAAGTATTCTATTTTTAAATCGTTTGAGTATCTTATTCTTTTTAATATTGGTACTACTCTGTTTTAATACATACTGGCTGCATCTGCATACTTTGACCCATTTCACTGTTTAAAAGAAAAAATATATAGCAAAGTCTACTCCGCTAAAAGTCAGGTAATTAAAATATTCTATATTTAAAATCGGTTGAGTATCTTATTCTTTTTAATATTGGTACTACTCTGTATTAATCAGTACTGGCTGCATCTGCCACCTTTGACTCATTTCACTGTTTAAAAGAATAAGTTGCAAAATCTACACCTCCAAAAAGAAAAGTAATAATCTGTTGATTAAGGTATTCTGTATTGGTATAATTACTCTATCATTGCACCTCTATCCTTTGACCCATTTCAATGTTTAAAAGAAAAAATATATTTGCAAAGTCTACACCGCTAAAAACTCAGACAAATATTTTGTAGTTTAAAGTATTCTATATTTAAAATTGGTTGAGTATCTTTTTATTTTCAATGTTGGTATAATTACTCTGTATTAATAACTACTGGCTGCATCTGCATCCTTCGATACAGTTAAAAAAAAAAGAATTTGCTAAGTCTACACTGTTAAAAAGTCGTTAATCAAACTATTTGTAAAGTATTCTTTTTTTAAAATCATTTAAGCATATTATTATTTTAATGTCAGTTTAGTTACTCTGCACCAGAGATAAGGGGGCGTCCATAATTTACGTGAGGTGTTTTTTTAATTTTCTGTCCCTTTCTTCCCCCTGGTGAGATCTCGTGAGATTTTATTCAACCCAATTCCCCCATCCCCCAATCTCACGTGAGATTTTTCAAAATGTGGGTTTCTTACGTAAACGCGTTGGATTGTTATTGTAAAAAGAAAAAAAAGGTTTCGTGCTTTCATTTAGGATTAGTTAAGACTAGTAATCAATATTGCTGAGAGTAATAAGTGTAATAAGCATGTTCAATCTGGATTAAATGGACCAAAATAGTATATTTTTTTTTGTTTCAATCAGAAAAAAAATTGCGTGATATTTGCCGAGACCCCACTCTCTCCAATGTAAGATTAGATGAGATTTGACTCGACCCCCCCTTAAACATTTCACGTAATTTATGAATGCTCCCTAAGATAATTATTACATACTCTGCAATAATACATACCATTGCATTCGCATCCTTTGACCCATTTCACTGTTTAAAAGAAAAAAAAATTGCATACAGTGATGTCAAAAATCCCGTTAATTGCGTATTCAAAGCGCGCTCGTCGAACAAATACTGTATTGTAATGTGTTGAATCATAACGTAATGTATGCAAATGTGCCGATGTGATTTACGGCAAGGTACATTCTCTGGGTAAGCGTAAAACACAGTTTGTTTACCTAAATTTCTCGGAATATTGAAGCGGAAAATATTGGCATTATGTTAATAATAACTACATTGTTATACACTTACACGTAAATAATATATTTTTTAAGTTACATAGTTATATATATTTATTCAAATTAACAGTTACGAGTTTCCTTAAATCTTTACATAGTATAAAATGAAGTTTCGCTATCTGTTCGGTTAGATCTTTTAAACTAGACAACGGATTTTAATGCAGTTTTTAGCAATAGATAGAGTTATTCAAGAGGAAGGCATATATGTATAATACATAACATCCGTGTGAAGCCCCGGCGGGATAGGCAGTATTTTAAAAAAGAAAGTATATTATACAAAATAATAATAATAAACACAGGACAATTCACACAGCGCCATCTATACCTAACTTAAGCTAGTAAAACGTTGTGTTATGGGTACTAAATAACTGATACAAATACATAGATATATTCTTATTTTCGTAAATATATACATATTATACATACAAAACACCCAGACCGATATAAACAATCATAATCATGAATATAAATATTTTTGTTTGTACCGAGGAATTGAACCAGCGACCATCGGAAATAAGGCGGTGTGCTAAACCACTAGACCACCGAGGCCGTCAAAAATGAAGGAGAAATACGATTTCGCCTAAGACAAACATCTTCCACAGTAAATTATAAAATACCCACCATTGAGGTTACATGTACCAGTAGTTCCATTGATGCAGTTCGGTAATGAACATTTTTATGTGATTTTAACTACTCGATACAACAGTATCCTGTATGAGATTTATAGTTCCTTTAATCCATATTACTATTGTGTTAGATCCCAGTTTACAGAACGGTAGCAATACGATTTCATTGATCAACAGATCGTATTGTGCAAGTTGTAAATTAAATGTCAATGAATTTGAGTTTAGTGGAAAAATCTGCGGAAGTAAACATTTTTTTAACTCGGTTCCATGGTCTATATGTACGGTAAACTTCATTACATAGTATAAAACAAAGTCGCTGTCGCTGTCTCTCCGTCCCTATGTATGCTTAAATCTTTAAAACTACGCAACGGATTTTGAAGCGGTTTCTTTTAATAGATAGAATGATTCAAGAGGAAGGTTTATATGTATAATACATGTACACCCGTGCGAAGCCGGGGCGAGTAGCTAGTCATTACATAGTATAAAACAAAGTCGCGGTCGCTGTCTGTCCGTCTCTATGTATGCTTAAATCTTTAAAACTACGCAGCGGATTTTGAAGCGGTTTCTTTTAATAGATAGAGTGATTCAAGACGAAGGTTTATATGTATAATACATGTACACCCGGGCGAAGCCGCGGCGAGTAGCTAGTTGTCGATAAAGATCTCAAAACAAAGAATGAGTTGGTCCCATATTAATTGTGTTAGAATGCTCTAGCGACCCCATGAATGTTGGCGTTTGAGGTATAAACTGATTAAAAAAAACATAAAAAGTGTACCAGTTGAGTTTCTTGCCAGTTCTTCTCAACTTGTATAGCTGGACGTTAGGGATAGTAAAAAATATGATAAAAATAGAAAATTAACCGCCTTAGAGTATCTCTGCACTCGCTAAGGTTGGCTGGTAGAGAATGCTATTAGTATTAAGCCCGCCTATTATACAATATGGTAGGCATAAGGGGCCGATGGGTACTCTATAGGTCCCCCATGATTAAATATTTTTTGATTTGATTTGATATACCCTGTGGTTTTTGGTGGGTAAAATCCTACATATCTTACCCGGTTGCTTTTGTTGGTGATGAAATGATCTTTGTTAAGATAAATAAGATGTGATGAACAAATAGATAAGATATGATGAATAGATGAATGAAATGTGATGAATATCCTGTGCGTTTTCTAGCGTATATATCACGTTCGGAGGAATTATTCGGATTAATACCAGCTGCTGAATTTCACCATCGTACCACTAAAATACCATCCTGATCATCTGGATGAATGTCATTCCTCCATTCATATTTCTAGAAACTCTTTGCAATGCACAACTATATTGTGAAATCACCTTCCAGTAATAGTATTTCCGAACTGATACGATATTGAAATCTTCAAGAAATGAGCTTATTCCTTTTTAATAAGCCAGCAACGCACTTGCAGTTGCCCTGTTGCGGGTGCTCGTGGGCGGCGGTAGTCACTTACCATCAGGTGAGCCGCAAGCTCGTTTCTCCCCTTTAAAAATCATGAATGAATGTATAAGAATGTTATGTGTGTGTTACAATTTTAATTATTTATGTTGATTTGTTTTATGTATGATAAATGATCACTGTATAAAGCTATTTTCTTTATTAGTTAATTTGCGAATGCTTCTGTGTGCAATGTTACCTTGACACTTTGTTATTGTTACAAACAGCGTATCTATGTTTAGATTGAACACAATAAATTGCAAATATCTAGTTACCATAAGTCAGTAAATTCATTTTAACAAGTCATATATTTAAAAGAAAATGCTAGAATTAGTTCTTTGTGTAAATTAACCATCTATCGAATATTAAATAATATTTTTAAAAAAGTCCCACGTTGGGCGCCAATAGTTTTGTGTGTTTACACAGTGACAAGTTTGCATCGTTGTAATAATGTAGTTGAGAACGGCAAAATGATCGTTTACACAGTCCTTGTTTATATAAGTCAGTCATTAACATGTTAATAATTTCAAACTACGAGAAAAGCTGACACAGTTTAATGGCTTTAAAAAAACATTTCCATCCGTACATGATTTAATTATACTAACAGAAGTGTACCGTAATAAATTCGCGCGATAATTATTTAGATGCATTTTAGCCAGTTTTACAGGAGCAAACTGTTGTTGTGTAAACAAGCCACTGCGTAGCATTAAAGCTGTTTAAAAGTTATATGAATTCAATGTTCACAGGACGAGTTCCATCCGTTCATAGAGGCCCTGATGCCCTTTGTAAAGTCCTTTTCGTACACGTGGTTCAATTTACAAGCGGCCAAACGGAAATATTATAAAAAACACGAGAAGCGCATGAGTCTCGAGGAGGAGCGGCATACCAAATATGAATTACAGGTAATAAATTACAGGTAAAAACTGTGATACATACATTAAATGTATACATTACTAGCTGTGCCCGTGGTGTCACCTGCATGAACAGTGTAGCTTATGTGTAATTCTAATATCTAAGCTATATTTCATGAGATTCACATGAAATATGTTTTGTAGTTCTTTCCTGAAAGAGTAACAAACATCCTTCCATCCATCTATCCATAATTACAAACTTTTACGTTTATAATATTGCAGAATGGATATGTAACTAATTAATAAATAACTGTAAATAATTATTATAATGTTGAATTAAAAATAATATGTTAATTATTAATTTTATTTAATATTTCAATTACACGTTTTATTTCTTGGATGTTGAATTAAAAATGATATGTTAATTATTAATTTTATTTAATATTTCAATTACATGTTTTATTTCTTGGATGTTGAATTAAAAATAATATGTTAATTATTAATTTTATTTAATATTTCAATTATACGTTTTATTTTTTGGTCTTATATTAACTAAACATTATTTTTAACTAATTGAGCCCACGGTTTCACCTGCATGAAATTTATAGCTAATATGTTATTTTGATGTATAAGTTATATTACTATTACTTAAGCAAATAAATAAATTATTATTACTGTAAAGTTTCATAAAATCCATTCAGTAGTATTTGCGTGAAAGAGTAACAAACTTCCATCCATCCAAATTTACATACTTTTGCGTTTATTTAGCAAGACTAAGAATAAAAATGATTAATTGCAGAATGGATATGTAACTAATTAATGAATAACTGTAAATATTTATGTTGAATTGAAAATAATATGTTTATTCACTAACCATAAACAGTTATGTTGAATTGAAAATAATATGTTTATTATTAATTTTATCTATTAATTTAATTATTGATTTTATAATATTTTATTTATTAATCTTACGTGTAAACATTATTTTTAATAGTAACTAATGAATTATTTTTTGTGTTACTATTGCAGAAAATCTTGATTTTCCATATCCATAGGCTGATGCTGTTTGACTTCCTCTTTTTATTTACAAACTATATTATGTATATATATATACGTTTAGGATTTTGGGCAGATTATCTTTTTTATACCATAATGGTGGAAAATAAGCATATGTGCCATGTGATGGTTAACGGTTGCTGTAGTCTACGGATGCCAGTAACATCAGGGGTGTCTGAGCTTGAATATAGCCTTTTGAAAAACCTGGACCAAGGTCCTGATCAAGGTCCTGACCAAACTTTGTACTACATCAGGGGTTAGATCAGGATCTTGAATATACCCTTTTTAAAAAACCTGATGCTGTCAGTAGGTAGTTTATTCAATAAAGTGAGTATTCGGAGGAAATTTCCCCGAAATCGTGTCTGTGACCAATTAAGTTCCAGGGTGTGACGATGAACTGCCTGTGTATATAGCGAGCGGTGCCAGGTTAAAATGCATCACATTAAACAGTTTTTATCAAAATCAAGTCAAGTTACTTTTTTATTCGATGAAATAGAATGTATAATATGTTTCTAGTTTTTTATTGGATGCATATGTATGTTTTTTTATGGATGATAATGGATACAAGCTTGCGCTAACGGTTTACTCTGGCAGGACACCAGTGGAGGATGAGATGAGCATGAGCTCAGGTCAGTTCATCGCGACAAAATCACCAAGAATTTATCACTATGGTTTCCAGGTGCATATGGTACATTGCTAGCAATAGGGTCGACAGTCCACATTACTAACAATCTCCTTTCCCCGTGCATATATATGTTGCACCTGCCTGCGCTAACGGTATAAGCTGGCGGGTCACCAGTGGAGGATGATAGGATGACGATAAAGTCAGGTCAGTCAGCCGATCGTGGTCAATTAGGATGGTTTTCACATGGAGGTCAACCTGTCATGACATTGTTGACAATGGGGTCACTAAATCCTATTACTTCAGTCGCTTCTCCCCATATTACAATTTGACCTCGGTGGTGTAGCGGTTTAGCTCACTGCTTTACATTCCGATAGTCGCGGGTTCAATTCCTCAGACGGTTTGTACGGACTATTTGTTTCATTCTGGGTATTTTCTATGTCCATCGATGGCTTTTACAATCTATCAAATGGACTATTTTTTTTCCCATTCCATGTTGATTGAAAACAAAAACATCACATGATTTCAGAATGAAAAAGCTGAAGTTAAACAGAAATGGGCATCACGTTTATTGGGCAAACTACGCAAGGACATCACTCAGGACTGCCGGGAGGACTTCGTGCTCAGCATCACGGGCAAGAGGCCAGCCGTATGCGTTCTGTCCAATCCCGACCAAAAGGGCAAGATGCGGAGGATAGATTGCCTTAGACAGGCTGATAAGGTAATATAATTTAACGACCTCGGTGGTACAGCGATTTAGCCCACAGCTTTACTTCTGATTATCGCGGGTTCGATGCCTCGCACAGTACAAACATATTGTTTTTATCTGGGTATTTTCTACATATACGTTATAGTACATATATGCAAAAAATTAAGTATTTATATCAGTTGTCTAGTACCTATAACACAAGATCTGCTTAGTGTAGAACTAGATGGCGCTGTGTGGATTGTCCAGTAAAAATGAAGTAGTGGCCTAAATAAATAAACAACAAATCTGGACATCTTAAAATACACTATGACGCCCTTATACCTTCAAGTGTCCATCAAGACGAGTACAGTTGGGAAAAATATGATATAAAAATTTTTATGTTCATAAGTGGCTAAAATGTCTTACATAAATTTGATTTGAAGAAAAAGTCTTTAATTAAATATGAATTAATATTATTATTAATTCATATTCATCGACGACGTCCTCAGTGGTCTAGTGGTTTAGTCACACCGCCTTAATTCCGATGGTCGCAGGTTCGATTCCTCGCACTTCACAAACATTCATGAGTATGAATGTTTTGTAATGGTGTGGATGATTTCTATGTATAATATGTATGTATTTACGAAAAAAATTATGTATTTATATAAGTTATCTAGTACCGACACAAGCTTTAGCTAGCTTAACTTGGGTCTAGATGGCGCTGTGTGAATTATCCTGAGATTAATTATTATTATTATTCATACATTTTACTTTCTCGAATTTCTTCGGAGTTATTGTTTAGAGTTACGGGTCATACTGACCTAGTGTTTCTATAATGTTTAATTTATAGTTATTTTCTTTTTATTATTATTATTTTATATATATTTTTATATATCTCCCTTTTTACGAGGGTAATATGTTCCAACACGCGGACCTTGGCGTGGATGAGTTTAAAAGTTATATGAGGACGATAAAACTGATGTCAAAAGAAATTTCCTTACAATACGGCACGTGTTGAGAATGATGGCTTTTTGTAACAGGTCTATTGTAGAGGAGGGGATTTGCAACGTGTGTTATTACTATTATTATCGTTGTAGCAATTCGAGGTTCTGGAGATCAAGAGAGCTTGTACAATTGAATGCGCGATATTGTGTGTTTGAGGTCGTCGTCTTCGCCGGCGAGGACGGTGTCGTGTGTGTGTGTAAAAGTGTGGTCGGGATGGAACGGGTGGGCCCGTGGGGAGGTTGTTAAATAAAAAAAAATGCATATCTCTATAAGGTCTAACAAAAACATATTAATAGCGCGTTTTAGAAATATGTATGAAATAAATACAGCGCCATCTAGTTGTTCCCGCGACTTCGTCACGTGTAATTTAATTTTAATTTACTAATATAAAAGTAGCCTAAGTTACTCCTTATTACATCTGCTACCTGCCAAAAAAACTTCCGTCAAAATCGGTCCAGTCATTTCAGAGATTAGCCGTACAAACAGACAGACAAAAATTGTAAAACATGTTATTTTGGTGTATGTACCGTATTTATGTATATTCATATGCATGTAGTAAAAAATGGTTATTTCTATATTACAAACAGACACTCCAATTTTATTTATATAATATAGATGTTAACAAGGCGTTGTTTTTGCTTTCAGGTGTGGCGTCTAGATCTAGTAATGGTGATATTATTCAAAGCGATACCATTAGAAAGCACAGACGGAGAAAGACTAGAGAAGCACCCGGAATGCACCCAGCCGGGGCTGTGCGTGAACCCGTACCACATCAACGTATCCGTGAGGGAACTGGACTTATATCTCGCCAACTTTATCAACAGCTATGGTAATGGGAGCGACGGTCTACCAGGTCTCTCGCTCACTATACATACAAAATCTATCCTACATAGCATTAACTCAAAACTTACATATTTTGGAAAATCGACTTTAAATTTAAATGCATTAAGACTGTATGTTCCTTATCAACAGATATGGTAATGGGATCTCTCGCTTATTATACATACAAAACCTATCCTACATAGCATTAACTTAAAACTTACATATTTTGGAAAATCGACTTTAAATTTAAATGCATTAAGACTGCATGTTCCTTATCAACAGCTATGGTAATGGGATCTCTCGCTTATTATACATATATAACCTATCCTACATGGCATTAACTTAAAACTTACATATTTTGAAAAATTGACTTTAAATTTAAATGCATTAAGACTGTATGTTCCTTATCAACAGATATGGTAATGGGATCTCTCGCTTATTATACATACATAACCTATCCTACATAGCATTAACTTTAAACTTACATATTTTGGAAAATCGACCTTAAATTTAAATGCAATAAGACTGCATGTTCCTTATCAACAGCTATGGTAATGGGAGCCACTATCTACTAGATCTCTCGCTCACTATACATACAAAATATATCCTACATGGCATTAACTTAAAACTTACATATTTTGGAAAATCGACTTTAAATTTAAACGCATTAAGGCTGTATGTCCCTTATCAACAGCTATGGTTGGTAGCGACGATCTACCAGGTCTCTCGCTCAATATACATACAAAATCTATCCTACATAGCATTAACTCAAAACTTACATATTTTGGAAAATCGACCTTAAATTTAAACACATTAAGGCTGCATGTCCCTTACACCTCTCTCCCCTTTATGCTACTATGAAAATTTTCTACAATATTTTTGTGATTACTCTAATGCTGTCGTAACTGGCCTTTACAGCATCAGCGGACGATAATTAAACTCGATGAAATTGCATCCATAGGATAGGGCGACTAATATCAACTGGGATTGTTAGTAATAGGGTCTAGTATCCTCATTGCTAGCAATGTACTATGTTAGGTCGACCTCCACGCGGTTGTCCCTGGAAACCATCGTGGTTAATTCCTGGTTATTTAATCACGCTGGGCAAACTGATCTGACCTCATGCTCATCTTCAAGCTCAAACCGCCAGCGTAAACCGTTAGCGCAGGCAAAAAATATCAACGATTTAGACTAGTCAGATAGTCAAAGTCTAAGTTTTTATATTTCTATACGGCCCGTCTGATGGTAAATGATTATCATAGCCTATGTATGCCTGAAACACCAGGGGTGTCACGTTCGCTTTACCGACCCTTAAGAAACCTTAATAGACACAAAACAAATACTGATGAATACCCACTTAGCAATGTTAGGACACACCTCTTACAGTCAGGTTTAGCGGCTGAACACACCCCTAATTAAAAATAAAAATGTGTTCCCGAGTATGATTCTTGTATTCATCTGGGTCTTTTCTATGTATATTATATATGTATTTACAAATAAAAAGTATTTAATTTATTCAGTCAGTTATCTAGTGCCCAGAGCACAAGCCCTGTTTATCTTGGGACTAGATGACGTTGTGTTAACTTTCTGGGTTATCATTATTATTACTGAAGTCAGTATTCCAAAATTTGTAATTTTTATGTTAATGCATAATATAATATAATAGCATGTACAGCTTAGCTCATTTATTTAGCGTATAGCTTAGTAATTATTAGATTTTTTTAGAAAACAATCTTAGTCTTAGATATATGTATATAAATAAAAAAATATAATTAGTAACCCTCCTGGCTGCGATGCAATAGACAATTATAATGATAGTAATAATTTCTATATTTGCTCAAAACACAGTGAGAAAAATGATAATTTAGAGGTAACGTGTATTCTGCCATAGCAATGGTATATAAAGTATAGTAGATCAATTACATAAACTGTAATCCCTGAAAAAAATGAAAAATAAAAAAATAAATAATCTCCAACAAATAGTTAGTGTATGTAATTAAGTATAAGAAAAAAAAATGAAAATAGGTAATAAAAAAAAAGAAATAGTTACACGCGGTCAGTATTATTTTTAAGAGAACTCTACACATTAAAAATTCTTCATTATTTAGACATTAGTTTAATTTTCTTTTAAATAATTTGTTTTAATACATTTTCAATGTATTAGGGTTATCATTAATTTCTTTTTGGTGAAATCTGTTTTTTTTTTAAATATACATAGCTTATCGTACATAGATCGATCTATGTCCGTCTGTATAAACATATCTAAGGAAGTATATTGCCAAACGCTTCCGATGTATCTGTGCTTTTGTATATCATCATATATTGTTTAGCTTAATATATGTATCATAATCTCAAATGACAATATTCATTTGGCATTGAGATATAATGTACGGAGTTACTAGAGAAGACGGTGTACTTATAGTTTATTTATGTATTTCAGGGTACTAGACCCATATTGTAAATACCTTATACACTAACATACATATGAATTAATATTATAAAATTAACATATAGAAATATTGAAATTGTATGTGTGGTCACGGCACTGATGACGGTAATCTGCCACGGTTGCGCCGATACACCACACCCTTCGGCCAGTAGTTCTCCTTCATTCCTTATGACCGTTGTTCTACCTAAATTGTAGCGATGGCACCTCACTTCACTATCACTAGCTGGATAGTTTGTTAATGAATAGTAATATGTTAATAAGAAATAATTGTCTCCATAAAAGATCCAAGGACTTCATCAATTACTTTTTTAAATCTTAGATTTATTTAGGGACTATTTTGTGACTTTAATTAATTATGAGGCAGGAGAATTTATTCAATATGTTGTTAATAAAATAAATTATCACTTTAAAATGTACTATACATAATATGAATAACAAAAATATACGAGTATTAATAATGAAAAAGCACTTATACTTATTTAAATGTTATATACTTTTAAAAATATATAAAAACTTTAATTCGTTTTACTCAATTATTAAAACAAACTTAATTATTTTAATAGTGAAACAGTAAATAAATTCAACATTATAGGACAAGTAAAGCACTTTAAACAACATATTAATTGTTAACCTATTGTATTGTTACGTTGTTGGTTTAATAAATTATTAAAAAAAAAAAGAAATATAAGAACCTAACACAAATAATACGAGAAATATAAATATCGATTCTACTATATTAGGTACTACATTTTAATAACCTTCATGTTTTTTGATATCTATTTCGCGCGTCTTCTCTAGTACCAAAATTGAAATACCTCAATGGTGACAAGTAAAAGCTTGTAGTTGTAACTTGTACGATATGTTTCAGATATCCTAAGTGGCTCCCTCTCGCCTCACACCCCTAGAGACAAAGAGAACGAACACGAGGCTAAGAGTAAAGGTAACACCCCCAACCCCGAGCACATCGGTGTCGTGATGTCTTGTGTTTGTTAGACTGTTTTGTGGCAATCGATTCATGCGTTAATTTCATAAAAGTAGTTCATTTATCTGACGGCCTCGGTGGTGTAGCGGTTTAGCACATCGCTTTATTTCCGATGGTCGTGGGTTCGATACCTCGTACGGCGCAAACATTTGTATTCATGAGTATGATTGTTTGTATCGGTCTGGGATTGAAACACATATATATATATATATATATATATTTGACGGCCTCGGTCGTCTAGCGGTTTAGCACACCGCTTTATTTCCGATGGTCGCGGGTTCGATTTCTCGCACAGTGCAACATGTGTATTCATGATATTCAAAAATTGCTTTCAGGACTATATGTATCGGCCAGGGTATTTTCTATGTATATTATGTATGTATTTACAAAAAAATACCTAAATATTTATATCACTTATCTAGTACTCATAGCCGCAACTCTTACCGTGGTACTCGATGGCGCTAGTTGATAGCCTAAAAAAAATCTGACACACCGCCTTACTTCCGATGGTCGCTGGTTCGATCCCGCGCAGGGCACAAACAATTGTAATGATGTGTCATGTATGAGAATTATATGTATGATTGTTTGTCTGGGTGTTTTCTATGTATGTAGGTATTTACGAAAAAAATATCAGTGTAAATAAATTGATATTTTTTTCTGTTATCAGTCATCAGTATTACTGATAATACTGATGACTGATAACCGAAAAAATCTATCAGTTATCTAAACAGTATTTATAACACAGGCTTTTGTTAGCTTAACTTGGGTCTAGATGGCGCTGTGTGAATTGTCCTGAGATTATTATTATTGACTAATATTTCTTTAAACTTGTAACGCAAACCACAGTTGCTATAAGACTATAGTCGGTGTTTTAAAGATACCATAACACAAACTCTTATTAGATTGGGACTAGATGGCGCTATGAAAATTGTTTAGGGTTGTTATTTTTATATTTATTTACATATACATATATATATACATTGCTAGCAGACCCCGCCCCGCGTAAAAGGTAAGGCTAAGGTAAAATAACATTGCTACTATAAATTGAGATGTAAGCTATCCTATCTTTTAAGTTAGATCAAATTGTACTCAATGTGCAAATCAAGTTTACAATCGGTTCAGTAGTTTAGGAGTCCATCGCGGACAAACAACGTGAAACGTAATTTTTATATATAAAGATATATCTCCCTTTATATGGGGTAATATTTTCAAACATGTGGGCCTTAGCCAAGCGTGGATAAGTTTAAAAGATGCTTGAGGATGATAAATGAGATGACGAAAAAAAATTTTTTAACATGTGTTTAGAATAACGGATTTTTGTAACAGTTCTCTTGTAGAAGAGGGGATAAATGAATGAAAATACTTTATTGTTCTTCTCACAGAATATAAATAAACATTCATATAGACTATTAATATATAAATATGTATGAACTTGACAAAAGAAAAAGGTAACAATGGGCGGCCTTATCGCTGAAAAGCGATTTCTTCCAAAGATTTGCAACATATCTAGGAGTTTCCTAAGCTTTTATTATTATTATTATTAATACTTTATTATTGTTATGATTATATGTATATATAGTCCTGGGGATAGCCATTAAAAAATATGTTTCGATTGTCACAAAATGAAAGATGGGAGAAATTATTTGTGATTGATTGGTTCTGCACAAAAATTACTTCATATTGTTTTTTTAAATTTATAATCGTGCATTTGGAGATATTTGACGTTAATCCCAGCATTGGCTTGCACTCACACCTTACATGCTTTACTGGATTTGAAATTTTTTTCGGGTAACAAACAATACTTGATATTTGCTCGACTGTTTGATATTATTTTGTACAGTAGTCGGTGTTCTTTCTCTTTCACTCTTTATATTTATTATATAAGCGATGCTCTTCTAAATATATATGCTAAAGACGAACATACACTTAACCGTAATTAACAACCTAACAAGGTTAAACTGGGTTTGTTACCTTTACATACCAGATCACATGTTGACGCCTGGACCTGTCAGAGACAAGAATTGAAGGATATTCTTAGGAGTGATGATTTTTATCTCCTCAGGAGAGAGTAAACTTTCCAAAGGAGATATTACGTTTATGCGCGGCTACTACCAAATAGGATGTGCAGTGGCATTTCCTCTTCAGCTTGGCAAAATCCTCAGCTTTTATTGAGCACTGACAGACCTAAGTTTGTTATTAGTAACACTGCGTAATCAATTACGCAGTATTATAAACCTCACTCTTAAAACCCACTTTCTACAGTACAGAAAACATAAATAAATATAAATTCAACTTTTTTTTATACCACGAAGGTGACAATCTAGCATACGGCCCATATGATGTTAAAGGGTAACCGTAGCCTGTGGACGCTTTAAACACTAGGGGTGTCACATACGCGTTCACGACCCTTAAGAAACCCTAACATCCTTCTAGAAAATCCACATGCTGTAGTCTCTAGAGAAAACCTCGGCAGGTAGCTCATTCCACAATCTAAAGTAACCCTAATATACAAAAAACTCCATGCTGTAATCTGTAAAGAAAACCTCGGCAAGTGCTCATTCCACAATCTAAAGTAACCCTAATATACAAAAAACTCCATGCTGTAATATCTAGAGAAAACCTCGGCAGGTAGCTCATTCCACAATCTAAAGTAACCCTAATATACAAAAAACTCCATGCTGTAATCTGTAAAGAAAACCTCGGCAAGTGCTCATTCCACAATCTAAGTGTACGCGGGAGGAAGCTCCTCTGAAACCGCACAGTCCGAGACCACTTAGGTTCCAGGGTCTGGGGATGAATTCCCTGTCGATGGCGAGCGGTGCGATGGTAAAAGGTAGCCGTAGGTATTATCTCGAAATCTTTCGTTTGGTTTTATTGGTACGTTGCGGCTAAGTGTGTGTTCATTTTAATGTGATTTTATATTATATAGTAACGTATGTACTTGAAATATTTTTTAGAATAGCATCGAATTCTAGAATAAACAAATCTACAGTTTTATTTAATATTTTCGATATTTTGATGTTGTGGCTTCGTATGTATTTTGTCATTGTGAATATTTACTTGTATGAATCTTTTTGTGTCGCTATCACATTTAGATCTAGCACGCATTAGTGACGTTTGTCATCGTGACAAATATAGCTAACTATGACAACTATGGGATTACACTTGTGATTAATACAGCTCTCTGTGACAACTATAAGATTACACTTCTGATAAATACAGTTATCTATGACAAGTATAAGATTACACTTGTGACAAAAACAGCTCTCTGTGACAATTATGAGGTCACACTTTGCGGAATGAAACCTGGAAATGCTTTTTTAAATTCCAGAATATGATCTACATCTGTCTCATTTATTATTATTATTAATTTTTGTGTATATATTCAATTAAATGTTTTATAATAACGCTGACAAATATCACTTATGCGTGCAACAGTTTACTGGAGTTTTTGATTATCTTATTAACGTACATTTTTAAATGTAAGTTTCTCTATAGAATTTCTTTAGATAACATTTTTATTATGCACAAAAGTGAGTCTTTGAATATATATAAGGAATAATTGCCATTCACACTATCATATTCACACAAATTATTTAATAGAATATTTTTATTTACATTACGTCTAGTGTAAGCTCTACTTAATAATTTTATTATAAAGGATGTTACAATATTAAAAATTATTAATATGTTTTGTTACATGTTAAAATATTTTTATACAGGGTGTTAAAATATAAAAAATAATATGTTTTATTATATACCGAAATATTTGTGCCAATATTATGGTGTGTTTGATTGGCAATAGATGTTTGTTATCTAGACACTCCCTACCTCCATAGTTTGTTTCCAGAGATGACAACTATAGCTATTAATATAATAATTTGTATTGTCTGAAATAAATTTCAGGCTATAGCCACAATCCGTACAACGGTGTAATTTGCAACGATATTATTCTAGCAACTGGTGTCTTCTCTTCGAAGGAACTATGGAAGTTGTCTAAAGGTACGTCTATCCGAGTATTTTATATGCAATACTAGCTACTTGCCCCGGCTTCGTACGGGTGTACATGTATTATATAAACAAACCTACCTCTTGAATCCACTCTATCTATTAAAAAACCGCTTCAAAATCCGTTGCGTAGTTGTAAAGATTTAAGCATATATAGGGACGGACAGACAGTGACAGCGACTTTGTTTGATGCTATGTAATGATAAATTTTAGGGATGTAACATTAAGTTATGTACTAGAGACAGACAGAACAATGTCTGCCTTAAGTAATTAATATTGAATTTACAATAATTTATTTATTTAACTTCCACAAAAATGGTACATGCGGCGTTATCTACCAGGCAACCATGAGTGGTGCAGAGAAAGATTGTTGGCGGTGCACTACTACAAATAAAACAATTAATTTAGGTAGTTCACACATTTCAACTTAAAAATGTAAAGCAAGTACTATAAATTATTTAAAAGAGCAACACGCAAAAACACTGCCAGTGACTCTCATTGTAGGCCTAACACATAGTCTATACATATAAATAAAATTGGAGCGTCTGTTTGTAATATTGAAAAAACCGTTTTTTACTACATGAATATAAATACGGTACATACAACAAAATAACATTTTTTACAATTTTTGTCTGGATGTCTGACGGTCTGTTTGTTCCGGCTAATATCTGAAATGGCTGAACCGATTTTGAGGGGTACATTAAAAAAAAACGTTTTTTTTAATATACCCCCATTCGGCTATTCCAAGCAGTCTCATCACAAGAAGAACAAGCCAGAAACTTGCGTGGTGCTCTTTTAAATAATTTATCGTACTTGTTACTTTCTGGCTTGTTCTTCTTGTGACGAGACTGCTTTGAACAAATAAAACAATTAATTTAGTTAGTTCACACATTTCAGTTTTTCACATTTCATTTTCAGTTTTTTTTTAATATACCCCTCAAAATCGGTTCAGCCATTTCAGATATTAGCCGGAACAAACAGACCGACAGACATCCAGACAAAAATTGTAAAAAATGTTATTTTGGTGTATGTACCGTATTTATATTCATGTAGTAAAAAACGGTTTTTTCAATATTACAAACAGACGCTCCAATTTTATTTATATGTATAGACTATGTGTTAGACTTACAATAAGAGTCACTGGCAGTTTTTTATATTCGTTTATCCATGTTTAAAATATGAGAGTTCTTTATATACAATTTGTTTTATTATTATCTCTGTCACTGCGCTCTGCTATAATAAACGTCTCTACAAGCATCTCTATTATTTTCATTAATTATCACTCTATGTTTGTAAATAGCCTTGGTTTTCCAAATAAAATAAATAAAATATTTAATATTTTATAACAAATAAACATATAAAACAAACATTTTTAAATAATATATACATATACCTACTAGCTGACCCGTGAAACTTCGTCCGCGTTTCCTTTTGCAATATTTTTCATTGTAGCTTCGCTTCTATTGGTCGTAGCTTAATGTTATATAGCTTAAAGCTTTCCTCGACAAATGGACTATCAAACACAAAAATATTTTTCCAATTAGAACCAGTAGATATTAGCGCGTTCAAACAAAAATACAAACTATATTATAATATTACTAGCTACACGCCCCGGCTTCACCCGGGTGTACATATATTATACATATAAACCTTCCTCTTGAATCACTCTATATATTAAAAAAAGGCTTCAAAATCCGTTGCATAGTTATAAAGATATAAGCATACATAGGGACAGACAGCAATAGCGACTTTGTTTTATACTATGTAATAATAATAATAATGAAGTATAGATAAGTAACATTAAATTAAGATTAGATATAGTATATAATATAAAGGCATATAGCCAGTTGCCTTGCCAGTTCTTCTCCATTGGATCTATATACTGAACTGGACGGTAGGGAAAATATTATAATATAAAAAATTTGACCTTCACAATTGGTTAAAAAGTCCTAAATCATATTTACTGAGCAAAGCCTATTACTCACTAAACGATTACTTGAATGACGAGTGTGCATGGCAATAGTTGTTCATGCACTGAATTTTCATTTAATGTTAGACATAGACACCTATATAAATATACATTGTAAATAAACTGGCTTTAAAAAAAAAAGTAATTCAATTGAGTTTCTTGCCAGTTCTTCTCAATCGGATCTATATACCGAACTGGACGGTAGGGAAAAAATAAAATTAGAATGTAAAAATTTGACGTTCATAAGCGGCTAAAATGTCCTACATGAATAAATGATTTTTGAATTTGAATTTGAATTTTGAATTTACATGAATAAATGATTTTAAAATTGGAATTAAATGTGAAATTGAATGATTTCAGCGTCAATACTCCAGGAGACAGGGTCCGAGTCCCCGAGCGGGTCTGGTGGCGGCATCAAGCTGGAGTCCAGTTACTACTGCGGGTACAACAGCCCCGCGCCGCCCCCGTTCGACCCCCCCGCGGAGCGCGCCACCCCGTCCGCGATGCTCGTTGGACAGTGTTTCAGTGAGTTGTTTTTTAATTATGAATTACTAGCGGCCCGGGTAAACGTTGTTTTGCCATATAGATTAAAAAGTTATTCGTCGAGAGATAAAAAATAGGGGTTGATGATAGAAGTATGAAAATTCATAATGACGATTCAAAAAACAAAAATTAAAATATAATAAAAAATTTCGTGTTTTGCCATATAGATTTATTGACTTTTGAGAGTTTTAACTCTCAATAAGGGTTAATGATAAAAATATGAAAATTAACAAAAAAGGTTAAAAAAAAATTACAAAAAAAAATGTGGTAGTCTATCAATATTATTATAGATAGACTAGTGGTCTACCTCGGTTTCGCCCTAAATCTTATATCTTTTTGAGGTTTATATAACGTATGTTAACATAATTTATAGCAGTTTAGCAGAACGCTTTACTTTCGGTGGTCGCGGATTCGTATAATTGTATCGGTCTGGTTGTTTTCTATGTATATAATATACATACAAAACAACCTCGAAAATACGAATTTACAAAAAAAAAATATTCTATGTATTTGTCAGTTGTCGAGTAGGTACCCATAACACCAGCTCTGCTTAGCTTGGGTCTAGATGGCGCTGTGTGAATTGTCCTGAAATATTATTGTTATTATTAAAATGGGAAATTAGAAATAGAAATAATCTTTATTCAAATAAACTCATTACAAGCTCTTTTGAATAGTCATATTTTGATTCTACCACTCATTCGGAATGCAGATTCATCACAAGAAGAATGAGCAAGAAACTTGTGTGTTGCTCTTTTTAATAGATGTTTTTTTATATAAATAATTACAGTATACAAGTAAGAGGCATGCGATAATCAACATAGAAATCGCTACGCACTCATTATTAGTGTAATCAGATAATATTGTCAGTGCTATGGATTTAAAGTTTTTCTATAAAAACATTATTATTGTTAACGAATTCTTCAATTTTATAGTAAGCTTTTTTGCAAAGGAACTGTTTTATTTGACATTTAAATGTTTTTTCTGGTAGATTTATAACAGACTCTGGTATTTTATTGTAAAACCTTACGCAATTGCCATAAAACGAATTACTAACTTTAGCCAAACGACATTTAGGTAAAATTAGTTTGTTATTGTTACGTAAGCTTTTATTGGTGCAATCACTAACTCTTTTGAAACTGTCTATATTCTTCTTAAAACACTCTCGCAATGACTCCCTGGAACCCATACCATAAATGGAGCGAATGGCCCTCTTTTGTAAATGCATATTGGATTGGAAAAAAAAAGAATTTGTTTATTTTAAGTTAGTGTATAAAAATGCCATCAGACCGGATTTGATGTATGGGGCGGAGTGTTGGCCACTAAAGAAGCAACAATCAGATAAGCTACATGTGATCGAATTGCGGTTGCTCAGATGGTCTGCTGGGGATACGCTTCTAGACAAGGTGCCAAACCCTTAATTGCGAGGAACATTCAAACTAAGACCTATCCAGGATAAATTGACTGAGTCCAGATTACGGTACGGTCACGTCATGAGAAGATCAGAAAACCATATGACCCAATAGATACTAAACATCAATCCGAAACAAAAGAAGCGAGGAGGACCTCGATTTACATGGATAGCCGCCATCAAAAAAGACCTAACGCGTGAAAATTTAGACCCAATGATGATCCAGACACGAAGTCTCTGGAGACGGATGATTAGGAGAGCCGGCCCCAATTAAGATGGGATAGGGCCGGGATAGAGAGAGTTTATTTTAAGTTTCTTCATTGTGTGTGTTTGTGTATTAATTTTTATCAACAACGTTGAAAAACGCAAAAGCAAGCATAAAGATTAATCTGGTGAAAATATAACATATTTTTGAAATGTGGAAACTTTATTGAATGTAATTATTCTGAATCATATAATAATAACTGTTACGGAAGGAAGGACTGTATTAGGGCTGGTTAAAAATGAGACACGTTCCTAGGTGAGGTAAAATAGGTGTAATCAGCTCGCTAGCAAAAATATAAAGACAATATGGCATAAGATAATATAATAATATAATAATAATATAAAAACTATCAAAAAGGTTGGTCGGCAACAATAACAATAATAATATTAATCTCAGGACAATTCACACAGCGCCATCTAGACCCAAGTTTAACCAGGTTAAGGTTGTGTTATGGGTACTAGACAACTGATACAAATACATAGATATTTTTTTTCCTAAATACATACATATTATACATATATGTAATATATGTATATATAACATATTTATTAAAGATGCCGCTACCATCCAATAAATGTCGCATGCCTTGCTCCATTACATCGTGTGACTAATTATTATTCTCGCACCGTGTGTATCCGTATGTTACGCACGTGTACAGAACTAAATATAGGCAAGTGGTATAATTAGAGATACTGCAGTCATTGAACTGTTATTAAGTAGCTCTGTGATGCATACGCTTATTTTTGACGCACTTGAACTTTGTATAATATTATATGTTACAGAACTCTTTAGAGTTGTTAGAATGAATTACTTTTTTATATTTATTTGACATGTGTTTTTAAAATGGATTTATCTAGTTGTATATTGTTTTGCCTTTGTACCTTACTATATACCATTCATTGTAATTATTCTAAGATAAAAATAAATAATTTTCTATATATAGTTTTGATTCGCCATCCTTATACCTAAAAACCTTCACATTATATATATAATTATATAATACATACATTTTTGTAATATATATTTATACATACTGTTTAAAACGTTGTTTTGACGCGGTCATTATTTATACGTATAATCAGTAAAAATCATAGGATCTTACCACGTTTTATTTTAATTGAGTTCCTGATATTTCGCCAGTTTTAACCGCAATGATCACGGGAAATGTGAATAGAATATGCAAATAGTAAGGTAGATACTTTCACACGTCTTCGTTTATTGCGACTATTAAAATTAATTTAAACAAAAATGAATAACGCGTTCAGAGAATGTATTAAATGTACGTGAAGATACTGTGAGTATAGTTTGCCGAGATATTCATCTCGATATTCATCTCTCATCGAGTTAGTTTCAATGTTACAAACTCTGTAATCTGGTTGTCTGCACAGGTTCCTTTCTATGGGAAACATTGCACAGTTCTGCTGTGTTCCTTTCTATGGGAAACATTGGCTTGTTTATTTGTATGTGTGCTTATTTTATAATTGAGCGAAATTTCATACTTCTCCGTCAGCGTAAATATTAAAATAGGGCACAAAGTTTTTGCTCCACGTATTAGATAGTGAGAAGTCTCTTATAAAAGTCTATAAAAAAACAAATCCTTTCTGTTAATTCATTTTATATGTTGAATTTGTATTCAACATATAAAATGAATTAGAAATATATATGACGCTCTTGGTGGTCTAGCAGTTTAGCACACCGTTTTACTTCCGACCAGTCGCGAGTTCGATTCCTCGTACGGCACAAAATTTTTTTATTCATGAGCTTGATTGTCTGTATCCGTTTGGGTGTTTTTTATGTACAATATGTATGTATTTACCAAAAAAATATATATTTACGTATTTGTATCAATTGTCTAGTACCCATAACACAAACTCTGCTTACCATGGGACTAGATGACGCTGCGTTAATTGTTCAAAGTTATTTATTTACTTACATATGTTTTCACTTTTTCATTGGTGTATTTTTATTTTGTTTGCAGGCATCCCTCATAGTTCAGCAGGCCTGAGCTCTGCGCAGGCGCCGCTAGTACCATCCAATACCATATTCTACCAACACCCACCACCCGCGGACACTCATCCCACTGGTTTGTTAACACTTAATGATATCAAATTAGGCATCTAAAGGAGGAGTCAAGAATTTTCTTAACTCGCTTGTACGTATTAGACGGGTAAAAAAGCTCAAAATACGATCGAATTTAGAACCTATAACCTATTCTAAGCGAAAGAATTCTATTGTTATTAAATGTGTAAAAATCCAGCTCGAAGGACTTATTTCTGATGCCCTACACAAGAATTTTTATACGTTGTCTGATCAGATAGGAGGATAACTGGATAGGGTTGAAGTTAGATCAGTCAGACCATTGCTCCAAAGAATAGTCCACATTGCTTTCTCTGAAGATTGACATGAAACTAGTCTCGAGTATTATCAATGTTTTGTGGGGGAGGAAATAAATAAAGTCCTTTACTCTGAGATGTACAATTCTTTTTAACTACAATATGTATTTTTACAATAGATGTCTAATTTTAGCGTGCTTTTGGTATAGGCCTCCTCTATTGGTTTCTATCATGCGCCTCTTCTTCATTTTGTGCCCACAGTTGATTTCAATTCATCTTCTCATTTCATAAATTACCTACCTCTCTTTCTCTTTCCAACTCTAAGATACCATTCAGTTATTCTTCTTCTCCATTGTAGCTCTTGTAACATGTATCATGTGACCAACCCATCTAATTCGAATTGTTTAAAGAAGATAAAATAATTGTTAAGTTTTTTATACTTTGCAGCATCAGAAGCCTTAACAAGCCAACACTCGGGCGGCAAGTATGACGGCGCACCTCAAGACTCTCTAGGGGACTTTGTCACATTCGTTTGTCAGGAGCCAACGGATGTACAGCAGTTGCAGGTATATCTTTATGTCGATTTGTTTAGAGATTCTGAGAGTCTTCGATTTGTAATCCTTCCAACCAATTGGTTTCATAGATTTCTCTACACAGATACGATACACGTTGCAAAAGTAGATATGGGTATCTTGATCGATGACAATGCATTGACAATGGTGCTTCTGTCTGGAATAATGGTATATACGCTAACTGAGTAGCAGATGAAGGATGAATGGATCAGATAACTTGTACAAACCTGATAACTACTATGTTTTATTTAGGGGCTTTCAGGTCCCATAAGCGGCAAATACTTAGCGTTATTTTAATGACTTTAGTAATAATATTATTTTTATATAATTTCAGGTTCACAGTTTGTCCAGGAGTCCAAAACCAGCGTATTTCAGCAGCGCGATGTTACCACCACCTCCTTTGCCGCCGATGGCCAGACCAGTCGCCATCATCAGGTCGACAGGTAACTTATTGCTTTATTACCTTGGATGAAGTATCTTTAACATAATGATATTCAGATAGTCTAATTTGAAAAGTAGGTCCAAAATTCTAAAGGTTGTCAGGAATAGATTGATAAAGGTATTTAAATTATGTTTATTATTGTACTTGAAAAATAGTCTTAGTTTTTCCAATATAATTCAAATAGTAAATGTGATTAAAATGTGATTCGGTGATGGTGTTGCAGCGAGCGAGCTGGTGAGCGGTGGTAGCGGCGGCGGCGGGTGCGGGTCACCGGCATCTCCCGAGGGCCGATCGCCTCCAGCATCCCCACGTCGCCGCTCCCCTCATTATCGGGAATGCCACCCCCACCCTCCTATTTCGCACTTCAACCACTTCCATGCGCAGCCCCAGCAGGTCAGTAGACATTCGCATTTAGCCATTTGATGGTCTAACGACTTAGCTAATTCTTTCAATGGTCGCGGATTCGATTTCTCGCATGGTATAAACATTGTATTCATGAGTATGATTATTTGTAACGGTCTGGGTGTTTTCTAAAAAAGAAATATCTAGAAGTATTTACATCAGTTGTCTAGTATCCATAACACAAGCTCTACTTAGCTTAAGACTAGATGACTTTGTGTAAATTGTCCAGGGGTATTATTTTTTGCTATTCTCGCAATTCGTAACGACAAACTTAATTTTTTTTTTAATTTACAGATAGGTAATATTTTTGTCACGTACGTTGCTTACTCTTAAGAAACCTTAATGTACCCTTCTTGAAAAACCCCATGCTGACTGCAGCATTCAATTTTTCATATCATCATTGCATAGAGACTACTCTCGAGAAAATCTCGGCAGGTAGTTCATTCCATAATCTAAGTGTACGCGGGAGGAGGCTCCTCTGAAACTGCACTTCCCGATACCATTGAACTGTCTATGGCGAGCAATGCGACGGTAAAAGCTAGCTGTTAGCAACATATCGAACAATTCTTTAGAACACAGTCCGTTGTATATTTGGTAGAACACACAAAGCGATGCGAAATCTCGCCTCAAATTAAACAGATACCGCCTGAAAGATCGGATGCTTCTGAGACCTCCGAGACCACTTAGGTCTGTGGGTATTATAACAGCATTACCATGCGGTACGTTAGCAGGTGTTCAGCTACGGGACGCTGGGCGGAGTGGGCCTGAGCGGGTCAGGGGCGGGCGGCGCGGGGGGCGGCGCGGTGCTCCCCTCCGCCGGCGGCCTGTCCCCGCCCGGCGGGCTCGGGCTCTACGCGCCGCGGGCTGCTGCTAGGGCGCCGCCCAGGTAACTATCCACGCAGCGCCTGCTACTAATGTCCATGGGGGGAGAAAGGGGGATTGTTAGTAAAGGGGACTATTACGCCATTGCTGGGAATATACCTTATCAGGTAGAGTACCTAATGTGGTATAGGGGTTCATCCAGGAAACTATCGTGATAAATTCCTAGTGAATGTGCCAGATGGGATAACTGACCTGACCTCGTACTCATCTTCTAATCCTCCACTGGTGCCCCGAGAGTGAGTGCAGATGGCACTCCAAAGTCGCAGAAGGACTTATGGAGCGGCTAAAAGTCAACTCCAGCCTGACGGATACGACTTTAGTCTGAGGGCACCGCTAGTGGTTCGAACCTTCGCTCGGGCCGTCATAATTTGGACCCCGTTTGAATTGGTTGGATCGACCGGTGTGAGGTGCGAGCATAATACTTTTCAAAACACATTCTTTCACGTGCGATACAGAAAAAAGGTTATAACAAAAGTTTTTTTTAAAAGATCATTATTACTTCTGGTTATGTTCTTTTTATTATACTTCTAGTGCAATAATGAGTAAATAACTAAATAAATATCATGAATTTATAAAACTACAGTATTGCGAGGTGTATAGTGCACATATATAGGTATGTAGTGTTTGGTCTTCCAGATGGAGTGCCCCATTCCCGACGCTGGAGGATGAGTTCAATATTATGGCAACACCTGCGGGACCTGACAACGTTGTACTGTTGGACGATGGTGAGTACCCAATCAACCTACTCCAAAAAAAGCAGATTTTCAATTAGGTTATAATTTTTTTCATGTTTTTTAATATAAACAGGTCTTCAAAATTGCAGAGTGCTTCAGAACTGAGTTTCTTTTTTGTTCTTCTCATCTTGAACCCATTCCGAACTAACGATAGATTGGACATATTATAAGAGTCTGTAATAGACCTACTTGAATAAAGATATTTTGATTTGATTTGAACTATGTCATTTAAAAACTGATTAGAAAAAAAATTTAAAGACTGACTAACATTTACTTCCAGATTAGTCCCTCTTTTGTATTTTTGGTGTCGGTTATTTATTAAAGATAATTGTTTTATAATTTAAAAGTAATTTTCTTTAATACCTTCGTCACATTTCCTGGTTTTGCAACATTTTTAGTTTTACCTCCGCTCCTGTTAGTTGCACCGTGATATTATATATCCTATAGCTTTCCTCGATTAATGGACTATCCTACTCTAAAATAATTTTCAATATCGGTTTAGTACATTCAGAGAATTATTGGTAATAAGCCATCGTTGTTAATTCCTGGTAAATTCGTAACGATGGCCTAACCTAATTCCATGCTCATTCTATCATCCACTGGTGCCCCGTCAGCGTATCCATGCATCACTTCATTATCTTATATATAAAATTCTCGTGTCACAGTTTTCGTTCCTATACTCCTCCGAAACGGCTTGACCGATTCTCATGAAATTTTGTGAGCGTATTGAGTAGGCCTGAGAATCGGCGAACATCCATTTTTCATCCCCCTAAATGTTAGGGGTAGTCCACCCCTAATTTTTATTTTATTTTATGGTAAAACAACGTTTGCCGGGACAGCTAGTTATCTATAAAAAAATACCCACGCAGGGGTAACTCAATTACTAGCAATGTAACATGTCATCTTGACCTTGACACAGTTCCCCCTGGAAAACATCGTGGTAAATTGCCATTTGTCAAGATGGGCTAACTGACCAAATTTCATGCCCATTTTATCATCCGTCAATGTTGCCTCGCCAGTGTGAACCGTTAGCGCAGGCATTCCATTATCAACGTTAAAAAATGTATCAAATGTCATTTTACAAACGATATCTTGGTAACCACTTAAAATATCCCACAGATCGTTTCTTCCAATCAAGCGTGATAACATCAGAGGCAACAGCGATGGACACGGGGGCGTCCGTCGGACCCAGTGTCGGCGTCGACACCGACGACATCGCCCCCGACAAGCCAGCGCCGGACCTGCACTCGCCGTGATCCGAGCCCCTGCCGCCCCCGGTGCCCCCCGCGCCCTCGGAGCCCCCGCTGCCCCAGGCCACAGTGCTGCGCTGGACGCCGGCCCCGCCGCCTCACTGGCGGCCAGTGACACACCGCACTCTATGAGTTTAAAAATATATGTTTTCAAATTTAGAATCTTTAATTCTTTTTTTAATAACTCGCTAGGTTTTATAAACTCGATCAATAAGGCTCACTTCGCATTTCTTCAAATTATTATCTCATATTGTTACAATTAACTGGCAGGCAAGAATGTAAACAGAGGCGATGTAATTTAAACCTTAATTACAGACTATAAAGCACAAGTTTATTGTGTCATAATAAAACATACTAATTTAAAAAAAGAACACGCTCTGTAAGGGGCATTATTCGCTCTTTTAGAATTCTGAACTAAACAAAAGAAGAAAAAAAAAAATTCTGAACTAAAAATGTGAAAGGAAATCTTTATGTTAACAAAGGAGGTGTAGCATTATTGATCGTAGTTTTTAAAGGAATTAGATATTTGTTTGAAAACTCTTAAGTGCGTAATGTAAATAGTTAGACACAACAATTTATATAATTTTATAATACTACTATATCTAGACAATTGGCTATTTGTGTTCATTAAAATAATTATTTAATGGGGCGGTGTTAAGATGTGGGGTCAGTGTACATAATTACGGGATTGAAACAACGGCAGTTATGACATATAGATTTTACAATTCGACGCCATATTGATTATCTATGTTTGTCAGTTGATTCCGTACGATGTGACTTTGTTACGGCGATATAGTTTATGCATACCTATTATAGGCAAATATATTTAATCAATATCGTTTTAATTTAATTCCTGTTAAGGCGATAAAAATACAATACTCCAACGATAATGTTATATAAAAATATAAAGCTACGAAAATAAAAACAACATATTATATTCTAATATTTTTATAGAATATAAAACAAGTATGATATGATCAAGCCTTCCAGTAATTTAGTGAAATAAAGTGTTAATGAAAGTACAGCTTATAAAAATATTGTTTGCTAAGCTGTGAAACAGTTAGAAAATGCGGTTTATGGAAATTTATGCTTCCAATACTAGCGTCAAAACATGTTTTTATTGACGAAAGTGTGATATTATAAGTTGTTTTTGTTTCATTGTTGTGTGTTTTGTATTGAAAAGTAAATAGATTAAGTACTAGTTTATATATTTTTTTTAATTTATTAAACGAATATTTAAGAAAGACGAGCCTTGCTTAATATAATAAAATAATAGTTTAGTTGTGTAAATTAGTAGCCATGAGATTAGCAATTTTATTGTTGTCTTTCGATGGGAAAATCTGTAATTGCCATAGATGTTTTCATTTTATATATTATAATATATCACCTAAAGTAATGATTACATTATTAAGCCATATGATGTTAATAGTAAAACCGCGGAGGATGCTTATATTTACAGACTTTTATATTGTTTTTCTATATTTGAAGGCTCAAAGTTATTTTTGTTGAAAGATTTGTTCATATTGAATAGCCTACGGTTAAGAATAGTAAAGTGCCATATAAAAATATGTACGTACTAATACAAAAAGTACAAGAAGTACAAAAAAGCTAGGAATATTGGAGTAGTACGAATAAAATCATTGATCTCAAAAAATAAAAGTAAATTTTGAGCTTTGAATTTGCATCGTCAATACAGTACCGAATCGGAAAACAACAATAATATGATTAAGTAGTTCGACAGTTGTCGAGGGACATTTTATAGGTGCCTTTCATAAAAAAAATCGTAAAATAATTTAACTAATAGGGTCTGTACATTGTAGTCTTTTAATAAATCCATCCGCTCATACCTGTAACATGAAATTCATTAACCTATTTATCTTAGGCTGGCTATTTTCTGTGACCAATGATAATACGGAGAATAATTTCATCAAACATAAATCATTAGTGACAGAATAATAGCAACACGAATAATCCTTATAATCTTCGAAAACCCTAGTACATGTAGTAATTTTTATTTGTCACTCTAATAATTTTGTTCATAATACCGTGGCCATACGAGGAAAGCTAGTCATTAGAGTAACAATGTATGTAAATTTAATATAAACTTTAAAATAAAACGAATATTTACAATTATAGTACCCCTTACAATTATTAGTAAGGGGTCAAACCTAAAATTGTGGCCAAATTACACTTAATGAAATCCAAATATATATACACGGTTTTAAATAGATAATATAGATTTATGTAAGTATGGTACATTTAAGTTGTCAGTTGTAGGAATTTTGTGGTAACACTCGGGTGGGAGACTCGGGAGCATGTGAGCAGAATGTTTTTCATTGCGATCACAGAGCTCTATCCACCACTACCGTTACCACTTTTGTAGTGGTTACAAGAATGTTCGTCAATCCTAAGACAAGTTATATATAATTATATTCTGGTAATATGTTTAATTTTTTACAACTATCATTTATTATTATTTTCACTGTTACTCTCATGAAATCTTTTGATATCTAATAAAAAAAAATTACATGCTATGTTTGTCATATTGAGATGTTTATGGTTATTTATTACTTAAGAAATTTCTTTTCGAAAACATTGAATTTTGAGCCTTATAGTTTTGTTTTCTAAGGTTAGGAACATAGTATGGTAGGAATCGTAGCAATAAATGACAAGCAATAAAATAAAAGTAATTATTACAGAAACAGCTTTAGTGAAGCTAGAATTTGGTACTGAGGTAGTATGATCCTATATTCGTAACAGTTAACTTGCAAAATATTTTTTCTATAGAAAAATATGCTGGGCAGACTGGGTTCTAAGTATAAAATTCGATATAAAGTTTAGGGAGGCAGATTGGTACAATTAATATATAGCTATTTCACTGAAAAATAAACTATATTAGATTATATTACAGCTATGATAGTTCAACTAGGCCGAAAAGCGGGAATTAGTCAATTGCTAGCTATAGACATTAGACAATATAAAAACAGTTAGATGAAATAATAGTGGTGTCATAAGGCTTGTTGATAATATTGAATTCAGGCTACATACCTATGTAATATTGTAAAATCCGAAAGAGATAACCTTAAAATGTTAAGGCAATAAAATATTGGAGACGAATTTAAAAGCTCATTGGTGCCGAAAATTCTAGACTGTGATTCAATTGTTCATTCTGAACGTGTCTTATATTGAAATAGTTGTTTTTGTATGATTGGCAATTGCACTGCTAGTGCTGACGGAAACGAAATAGTAAGTACATGCGTGTTATAATAAAGTAACTATGATAAACAGAATCATGTTGTATGTAATGCATTTGTTATAATTGTAAACAAAAAAAAAATGTTATCTACTAAATAAAAGTCAAATAGATTTTACAATATTTTAATTTTAACGGCAGCATTTGTAGATTTGATAGAATTTAGTAGCTCTGCAATGTCTCTGTGCATGACAACTACTGAACTTGCTGCTTATATTAAGATCTGTACAGTGTACGTTGACCATTTCATTAACAACGAAAGGAACGAAGTATTTGTCATAGCATGTTGGTTTAATTTGTTTATTAGCACCACTGTTACGATATGGAGTAATTGAAAGCCTAAACATTATGTGCCTTAGATACAACAATATTGTATGATATTTATGATGCGTTCTATACAACGTGCTAATTAGAAATAAAGATAAACGTTATTTTGAATGCCTCGACTTTGAAATGTTTTCATTGTTAGAATTAATTTCCGCGAAGGCTTGTGGGTCTTTATAGGTTTTGTAACCCAATATTATATTGTAATGTAATCACTTAAATTTCCGTTTGAAACCTATGTAAATAAATGAAAATTTTGGTAGCAATCCATTCTAAGACAATGTAAGTTTATTTATTTCTACTTTTTCTTATTAATAATATCTATAGCTTTTGTCAAAATTATAAAACTGGGCACCTAGCAGTCTGGAAGATAATTTCGAATCCAGAATATAAAATTATAACCCTGATCTGTACTAATTATTATACAATTAAGTAACGCTTCAAAGCGTAGTTTTGCTGAAAAAATATTGATACCTACTTCTAATATATAATTTTAGTATTATCTACACTATACCCATTTAAGTACATATTCTATATTTTACTGGCATGTATATCTAAATCGCCATGATTGAATTAGGTCTGTATGCCTTTTGTTTGAAACGAATCTAAGTAGTACACTCATTCACGCATGGCTTCTTACTATATATTATTAATAATTATGAATCCTTAATGCAAAGTATTTACATTTAGCCCACTTGATTGAACCTAATATTATATATTAATACAATAATAACCTAGTTATTCACTTTATTTCTTAACTTATAAATTAATAACAATTAATAAAGGAACACAAATCCGTCTTATTAATTTTGTGGATTTCCGAAATTGAAATAACATAACATACGTAAATAGAGAATAATTATAAGAGTAATTAATTAACCAATAGAAAAATACTCCTAGTTACGAATTTCTTAGTTCATCGTATGTGCAATTATAAATATTTAAATGTTTTTAGCGAATTTATTATTTTAGCGTATTCGTGTCCATTGTAATGTCTGTAAATATGTACCGGAGTTTATTTATATGATTTTAATTTGTATAATTTAACAGTAGAATGAGGATTACGTGTTATGTTTGTCATATTTCATGTATTTACAGTGCTTTCATACGTTTCATTTACTTTTTTAATTTACGTTCAAAGCCATATTGTATAGGATCAAATGAGCTTTTCTTTGACGAGGAGATACATAATACAAACAACTACATTGCAATAATCGACCAAGAACAGATTATTTGATCAATACAAAGTAAACTAAAGATAGACTTGTAAAAATGTTATAACATGTATTTTTAACCTATACATAGTAAGATATTTATAGAATTTTAGTCGTTTAATTATTTCGAACGACTTGTTATAAAGAAAATTGGTGCTTAAAGCTTAAACAAATATGAAACGGCACAATAAAGTGCCGAGTGTGTATTGTCATGGAGGGGTCAGAGCATAATGACATAGCATGCGTTGTTATGCTTGCATCCACGTAGAATTGTTTATAATTATCTATATATTTTTTTAATTAAATTTAGAAATTCGGTCGCTGGCACAAAGTTATTGCACATAACCCAGTACAACTGTAAGACCTAAAATATACAATTATTGTCTATGGTTACACAGATTGGTATAAATTAAATATTATGTTTTTTTTATCAAATAAACAAAGCATAAACAATTCTCCGTGATAATGTAAGCAGTTATAATAATGTAGGTAAACTTTGCTCAATATCGATGAAAACTGAAAGTGTTACAGTTGATGCAATACAAACAAACAAACACAAAATTGCGTTTTATTTTATACTAGCTGTACCCGCAACTTCGTCCGCGTGGATATTAATATTATTTTTTTAAATAAAAGAATTTTTCTAAAATAAAGTTATAGCCCAAGTCACTCCTTATTACATTAGCTACCTGCAAAAAAAATTCCGTCAAAATCGGTCCAGCCATTTCCAAAAAAAAAATGTTATTTTAGTGTATGTACCGTATTTATATTCATATGCATGTAGTAAAAACGGTTATTTCAATATTACAAACAGACACTTCAATTTTATTTATATGTATAGATTTATAGACTAGTTTCCCGCCCTGACTCTATTTAACAAGATATTCTTTTATGCAATTTAAATGGCAAATATGCTGACCCTTCCCCATTTAATAAGTAATCTTTGCACAAATATATGATTATCACTACAATACATCATTACATAGTATAAAACAAAGTTGCTGTCGCTGTCTGTCCGTCCCTATGTATGCTTAAATCTTGAAACTACGCTACGGATTTTAAGCGGTTTTTTTAAATAGATAGAGTGATTTTAGTGGAAGGTTTATATACATAATACATGTACTCCCGGGCGAAGCCGGGGCGAGTAGCTAGTAACCTTATAATATGCTGGCACTTATAAGCAATGAAAAAAATTGTCAATACGGTGCAGCAAAATGAATGAATGACATTGGAATGGTGCACCCGGCTGTGCTGATGATATACTCTGCGGGATATCAGTAGAGGATGATAGGAGGAGCAAGGAGTCAGGTAACTTAGTACATCTTGACGAAATCATCAAGAATAAGCCAAGATGATGTATTGGCATGGTGCACCCGACTGTCCTGATGGTATACTCTGCGCGATATCAGTGGAGGATGATAGGATCAGCAAGGAGTCAGGTAACTTAGCACATCTTGACGAAATCATCAAGAATAAGCCAGGATGGTGTATTGGAATGATGCACCCACCTGTGCTGATGGTTTTTTAAAGCGTGATAATGTAATGGTGCACCCGCCTGCGCTAACGGTTTACGTTGGCGGGGCACCAGCGGAGGATGATAAGATGAGCATGAGGTCAGGTTAGTTAGCCCATCGTGACAAATTGACCAGGAATTTATCACGATGGTTTCCAGGGGGAACCGTTTGGAGGTCAACCTGACCTCCAACATTACAACATTGCTAGCAATGGGTCTACATTACTAACAATCCCCTTCCCTCTCCTGTGCTGGTGGTATACTCTGCGCGATATCAGTGGAGGATAATAGGAGGAACAAGGAGTCAGGTAACTTAGTACATCTTGACGAAATCATCAAGAATAAACCAGGATGGTGTCTAGAGGTAAGACGTAGACGTCGACTCTACACTAAGAATTGATTGTGAATCGATAAAAATATCGACTCTTCACTAAGACTCGATTGTGAATCGATAAAAATAATAAGCTTCCCATTAACATAAAAACTCTTTTTGAATTATTATTTAGAATTATATAAAAAAAATAAGATACCAAAGGATATATTGAAATTACCCTTAAATAAATTCAAAATATCTGTTAAATCATATTTACTGAGCAAACCCTATTACTCACTAAACGATTGGTTGAATGACGAGCGTGCATGGCAATAGTTGTTCATGCACGGGATTTTCATTTAATATTAGACATAGACATCTATATAAATATACATTGTAAATAAACTGGCTTTTAAAAAAAAGTAAGTCAATTGAGTTTCTTGACAGTTCTTCTATATATATATATATATATATATATATATTCATAAGCGGCTAAAATGTCCTACATGAATAAATGATTTTTTAATTGGAATTTGAATTAAAAAAAACTACATGATTTGTTAGTTTCCAAGTGTTTCTAGGCAATTAAAGAGTGTATGGATGAATGATGCCTGAGGACATTTAGGTTACATACAAATTGACATATACATACTTAGAATACATATTAATTATATAAATAATCAATAATTTAATACTTAAAGATTTGTACGCTTGATATAAGCAAATTATGAAGATCATTTTTTCAATAACATTCTATACCATATGTTACTAGCTGTACCCACAAATTCGTCCGCGTGGATATTAATATTTTTTTTAAAAATAAACGAATTTTCTAAAATAATATTACAGCCCAAGTTACTCCTTATTATATCAGCTACCTGCCAAAAAAGTCCCGTCAAAATCGGTCCAGCCATTTCAGAGATTAGCCGGAACAAACAGACAGACAGACAAAAATTGTAAAAAATGTTAATTTGGTGTATATACCGTATTTATATTCATATGCATGTAGTAAAATACGGTTATTTCTATTACTCCAATTTTATTTATATCTATAGATGTACACATAATCATTTTATTATTTTTATTATTCTTCATTATTTTGTTTTTCTAAAAGTGACGTATTATAAAAAAAAAAACAAGAAATTATATTTTAAACTCACAATTTTTTTTTTATTGGATTGTTTGGGCTATTGTCAGATGTGTAGCACCTGTAGCACTGCGACCTACATAGATCTATTGTGCTCGCCCTTTTCAGAGTTCGCTACCTAGACCCGTCAGGGACAAGAATTGAAGGATATTCTTAGGAGCGATCGTTTTTATCTCCTCGGGAAAGAGTGTAAACTTTCCAAAGGAGATATTTCGTTTATGCATGAGTGGACAAAAACTAACAAACTTACAAACTTTACTCACAAACTTAAAAACTTAGTGGCCTATATATATGTATATATACTGGCTGTGCCCGCGGTTTCATCTGTGTGAAATTATAGCCTATATGTTATTCTGATGTATAAGCAATGTTACCGTAAAGTTACATCAAAATCTTTTCAGTAGTTTTTGGGTGAAAGAGTAACAAACATCCATCCATACTTATAAACTTTCACGCTATAATATTAATAATAAAAATAAATTAATAAGATAGACAATGATATTCACTTAACATTCTGCGTACTATTGACTTAAGTAATTTCTATTTGTTGCTTAAAAAAGTTGCTAATAAAAGAAGTGTCGTCTCTACTTATATTTCTTTATCAACTATATGTTTCACCCGAGTTAAATAACAAATTTAAAACAGTAATTTAGCTTGACGAGGTCTATCGCATAGCAATCTCTTCTAGACAACCTTTGGGTAGAGGAGAGAAGACAATAGGTGGTAGATAGTCTTGAATCGAATAAAAAAGGTATAGTAATTCAAAATATTCAAAATATCTTTATTCATGTAGGTCTTACAGACTCTTATGATATGTCAAATCTACCGTCAGTTCGGAATGATTTCTAAATGAGAAGAACTGACAAGAAACTCAGCTCGTATTTTTTTTAAGTGTTGTATATATTTACATAATACAATTTCATTTAAACTCAAATTTGGGAGAATAGTGTGACCACAACAATTGCTATTTAAAAAAAATAAAAAAATCTAATCAGTGATGCGACCGACCGCCGAACTCTTTTGATATTTTTATTATTTTTAAATTTATATTTTTGAAGAGTTCTTTTTTATATGTCATGTTATTTAATATACTTCAATTTATTTTATCATTCTATCATTGTCTTTCGTATAGTTCGCAATTGCACATATTAATATATTATTATTGCAAACTACGTGTTTTCATCATTTAGACACCCATACAGTCCACCCATCCGTTACATTTTGGTCAGACCAGTCCCCACAAGCAGCACCCGTTCACGAGTATGACCAGCCATCATTGCACTCAACCATATTAGAGGGAGCACATCGACCCGACCCGCCACGTCGCCACAAGTTTGAACTTTACTTTGAGCGACGTAGTGGAGTAACTTGAAACAGTTATTGTTTCAAGTTACTCCACTACGTCATTTATATTATTTACAGCATAAACTGTACCAATCACAGTTTTCACCCATTACAATATTTAATCTACATTATTTAAATTACAATATGTCATTACTAAATTTAGAATAAGTAATATTAAATATATATAAGAACAATTAATAAATTTCTATCGCATATATCACGGGGAGTGTTCTGAGGAATTGTTCGGATTAATACCAGCTGCTGAGTTCTACCACATTGTGGAATCACCTTCCAGCAATGGCATTTCCGAAACGATACGATATTGTAACCTTCAAGAAAAGAGCTTATTCCTTTTTAAAAGGCCGACAACGTACTTGCAATTCCCCTGGTGTTGCGGGTGCTCATGGGCGGCGGTAATCACTTACCATCAGGTGATGCATACATGCACATATGCTCGTTTGTCTACTGCGTTATAAAAAAAAATATCTTCTATATGCACTGCTAAAGAGTGGAACACACTTCCAGCGTTCGTGTTCCCGGAGAAATACAATCCCGGATTCTTCAAGTTTATGGTGAATATATATATATGTGATATCTTCTGGGTAACCGCGCTACAACCTAGCTTTAACCATCATTTCCCATCAGATGAGGTTAGACCAAGCGCAAACCCATTAATAAAAAAAAACATCCATATTATACATAAACACACAGGCAGTTTGGATCAACCTAATACTGATAATGTTATATATAAGTATAACTTTGTGTAGCTTTATTGTAATCTAAACATATATAACTCAAAGGTGACTGACGTAGTGATCTATCAATGCACAGCCCAAACCACTGGACGGATCGGGCTGAAATTTCGCATGCAGGTAGATGTTATGACGTAGGCATCCGCTAAGAAAGGATTTTGATAAATTCCACCCCTAAGGGGATAAAATAACGTGAGCGAAGTCGCGGGCAAAAGCTAGTTTTATAAATATATTATATTAATTATTAGTTAACTATAAATCAATAGAAAGAAGAAAGACTTCTTTCTTGCTAAGAGAGACGAACGATGACAGAATAAGAATAGTTTAACTTGGAGAGATAGAGTTAATAGAATTCTTGAAAAATGGTAGTGATGGTGCGCTACGAAAAAAGTATGAAAGTGAGTTTCATATCAAGGATGTTAGGGAGCTCCGTAACCGTAACCGAAACTATCGGATATCGGATATAAAAAAATATTTGTAA